TGCTTACATTTCCTACACATAGAAACCATTATTTGAAAGCCTTAATCTGTTTTATCACAAAGATATTGGGTAATGAATGCATTATACCTACTCTACAAAGTTTTTTTGTTTGCACTTTCCTCTATTTCACATGTACCTTGAGTTTGTATTCTATCAAAGTTGGAAGAACTCTGAGTAAAAAAGAGTGTTTTGCCTTGTAATGATATCTTAAAACTCTCATGAATTAAAAAAAAATCTCCCGTAAGTGAGTACTCAAATTTGTTTTGATTTGTTGTTGCCACTTTGTATTAATACATACAATGAAAATATCAAAAGCTATTCTGAAAACCATCCCTACCTACTCTAGGAAACCCCAGAATACGATGGCTGCACAACGGTATGGAGGTCACAGACACCAAGTTCTCCAAGTACCTGACAACAGGAGACATCCACATCCTGGCTCTGTCTAAGGTCGGACCAGAACATGCAGGTAAGTAACTAACGGTTTCTGTTATTGCAAATCATCCTCACACTTCTTGCACTCCATTGAGATGTGGCCAAATTGTAACCGGCCTATTAATAAGAACTGTACAGTATTAGAGAGTGAAGTGAAAACCACTAAGCCTTTCAGCTAATTGTTGATACAGTGTCCAAACATTGATGAGGACACAGATGGATCTGGGGTTGCCAATTTGCCAAGATCTGCCACAAAGAACCTTGAATTTTTCCTATTACTATGTATAAGTTCTTCCTATATTATTATACATTATGTAGTATGCGGCCAGACTGACTTTTAGAGGCTGTTCCCCAAATATATGAATGTGTTTGGGTAAGAATAAACAGTTTGATAGGCTACACCATGTGAACTTCAAGATTATGCAATATTATGCAAGTAACAGTTTTGTTTCTTCCTGCTGTACAGGTGTGTTTACCTGTGAGGCGACTACTTCAGACGGCATCGTGACCTGTGACATCATCATCAAGGTCGAGGAGCCCAAGGAGCCGGCCGAGACGCCCAAGACGCAGGTCAAGGAAGGTCACAGGGTGGAACTCAAGGCTGAGATTCCAGGTGATGATGTTGTCTTATCTTACTTACATCTTACATCATCCCCAGGTAGGCTTAGTGCCTGTCAGCTCAGAGCGTCGTTTCCATTCCTTCCGGTCTAGGAAGACTCCTTCCTCTTCTAGCCTTTCTAACCTCCCAATCCTGCGGTGTGTCAATATTTCTTGCACATTATCCCGCCATCGTTTTCTCGGTCTTCCTGGTGGGCGTTTACCCTTTAGTTTAAGGTCGAAGGCCATTTTTGGGATTCGGTCTGGATTCATCCTTTGTACGTGGCCTAACCATCTGAGGGCAGATCTCTCAATGTCATTGACGACTGAGGTTATGCTCAGCATATTTCTCAGATGGGTGTTACGGATCTTATCCAGTCTGCTTTTGCCTAGCATGGTGCGTACTACTCTCATTTCAGCTGCCTCTAGTCTACTGAGGTCCTTCTTTGTCTTTGTCTCATCTTACTGAGCTAAATAATCTGTGAATAGTTTCATCAGTACGGTAAGACACTGAGTAAAGAGACTCTTTTTTACACAACCAAGTCTTTTATTCAGCCGACATTCGGTGACCATCTGTCACCTTCCTCAGGGCAATTCTGACTTCACACATGTGTAGTAGATATGTAAATATTGTAATATTGCAACACCCGTGTTGCAATGCAATGTGAACCAGTTAGAATTGCCCTGAGGAAGGTGACAGACGGTCACTGAAATGTCGACTGAGTAAAAGACTTGGGTGTGTAAAGAGAGCGACAGTACTCTGAGCTAAATTATGTATGAGCTGTCTTTCTGCTAAATTCCTTCTACAATGTTGCTGAACTAAGTATTATCAACTACTAGTATTGTGTATCTGTGACACTAGCTGTCCTTGGTGCTGAATTGAGCATCACCAACTATAACATACATATATGTGACAGGACCTCTCCTTTGTGCTGAACTCACTATCACTATAACATATCTGTGACAGGACCTGTCCTTGGTACTGAACTCACTATCACCAACTATTACATATCTGTGACAGGACCTCTCCTTGGTACTGAACTCACTATCACTAACTATTACATATCTGTGACAGGACCTCTCCTTGGTGCTGAACTCACTATCACTAACTATTACATATCTGTGACAGGAGCTGTCCTTGGTACTGAACTCACTATCACCAACTATTACATATCTGTGACAGGACCTCTCCTTGGTACTGAATTAAGTATTACCAACATACATGTATCTGTGACAGGACCTCTCCATATTACTGCATTATGTATCTGTGACGGGATCTCTCCTTGGTACTGAACTCACCATCACCAACATTAGGTGATGTTCAGAACTTTTATTCAGCCTGTAACTATAATTACAGACAGCAGAAGAATAGAGTGGCTTCTGGACGGCAGGCTTATCCAGGAGACCAAAGACCATTGCTACAGCTCATTCTAAAACATGCTTGTTATTACAGACAGCATATAATAGAGGGGATTCATTCCTCAAGCTAACTGACATCTTGCACACGTAGTCTTCACTCAGTAAGACATCTGGAGCCACATAGTTCCCAATTAGAACTTTTATTCAGCCTGTAACTATAATTACAGATAGCAGAAGAATAGAGTGGCTCCTAGATGGCCGGCTTATCCAGGAGACAGAAGACCGTCGGTACAGCTCCTTTGGCAACATGCACAGCCTGACCATCATCAGCGTGAAACCAGAGGATGCTGGGACGTACACCTGTGTTGCCATGACGCCCAGGGGAGAGGTCACCTGTAACATCAAACTGGAGGTCGAGAAGGGTCAGGAGGTCATCAAGGTCAGACATATACAATATATTAAACCAGAAAGGTAACATTTGTAAAACAAACACGTACTCATTTTCATGTTAACCTTTACAATTGGTCTAGCCCTACAAACTACCGCTCTGTTTATTGTTACTCACACACGTATCATATATGGTGAGCAGCAACTAGCTCTGTCCTGCTACATACTGTAACTGGACACCACAGGATGTCTACTACAAATTTGTTACCATGGTGACAGACATCTGGCCCAGGTCATTGGCCTTATTTGTTTGGAAAAGAAAAAGAAGAAACAGAGAAACAACAATATGCTTTCCTGTCTCCAAGGCTTTCAAATGACCTGTCAATGATCTTAGAATAATCTTAATACCCAATCCTTCACTCTATGGAAAGTGGGCTTTCCTTATTGATCTACTAGTATGTCCCTACTGTTTCCCCAGATGGTTGAGCTGGACCAATCACTACAGAGCCAGGAACTGAAGCTACCAGAAGAGCCCTGCACACAGCCTACAACACTGGACGTACTGGAGGGGCAGGAGGTCACACTCAGGGCAGAGGTGCCAGGTGAGAGTGAGAGAGAGAGAGAGAGAGAGGGAGAGAGAGAGGGAGAAAGAGAAAAAGA